ACAAGTCTGTTTGAGTTTAGAGAGCTTTAACCTTAAGAAAATTTGCAAGATAAATATTTCAAAATTTGCAAAGTTTGGCTAAGTAAATTCTGATAAAGTTTAAACTTCGATTTGCAAAGGTTAAAACGAAATAGTCAAATAAGTTAATTGCCGGAAAATCGTGTTTAACGGAGTGCCTTAGGTGCCTTTAACACCTTCCTAAGACACTAATAGGAATCCCGAACCACTTAAAATATTTTCAAAATAACTTTTTCTGTTTAAGTTGTTTTGGAAATAAGTTTTCTTGATTTTTCTTAAAAAATTAAGTGGCGACTCCTAAAAGTCGAAAATACCCTTTAAAACAACAAACTCTTTTCGAAAACCAATTTTTCGATAAAACAGTCTTCAAAGTTAAAATTAATATACCTGAAATTTCAATAATATTATTTAGTGTAGTTATAAAGTATAATTAGATAAATTAATCAAAGAATCCTTGTTGGAGTACCAAAGAAAATTAAAATAAATTAAAATAAAATAATCTTTGTAGGAATACCAAAGAAAATTATCCTAGCCTCTAATTATTCAATTTGTACACACTCTCAATGTTCACTACACCATTTGAAGATTAATGGACATAAACATTAATGTAGGGTTCCTTTTCCTTGTGAGTTTTATGAAAGTTAAACTTAAATACCTAAATATTGTCATATGTTCATCTTGTCTTTCATTATAAACAATAAAGATTATTTTTAAAAAAATATGTGCAAAATAATAAGTACACTAAAATCATCAATAATGAGGAAAAAAGCAATAAAAAAATTGTAAATAAAAGACATCAAACAAATTGAAATAAAAAGAGTAACATGAGGTGAAATATTGTACTCATCAAAATTGAATTTGAATTTTTAAAATTGTCATATACTTGTCTACTCGTCCACACTATTAAGTGTTAACAATAGAAATTAGTCACAAAGAATATATATATATATATAAATAGACATAATCAAAGTGATGTACCTTGGTAACACAAATTAGATATTATTCTCAGTGAATTTGAATTCTCAAAATTTTCAAATGCTCATCTTATCTTTCACATAGTAAAAGTTAGTAATAAATAAACTATATATTATAAAATTATGCATAACCAAAATGATGTACTTTAGTATAAATATGATGAACAAAGGAAAAATAAAATAAAAAATTCTTGCATTGGTGAAGATGACATGGTTTTAGTATTTATAGTAATCCATAAACTTTTAACAATTGAATAAATAAATCAAAAGAGTAATGGAGTAATCAATACCTACAATTGTAACTTATATTGGTCATTAGTGTCTTAATTATAATTTAGTAATACTTTTAAGAAGGCATAGAGAAAGGTTTAAATATTAAAGGGGTAAACTGTAACGTATATATACCTAAAATAATAAATGTATTAATGGAGGATTTAAAGAAAAATGATCAATAGAGGATATTTATTTAATTTAACTAATATAACAAGATAAAAATAAGAGAAAAGAGATCTTTAAAAAAAAGATAAAATATATAAATTCTAATGCTAGCCTATGAGGGCTGCCACATCAACACTTTCATATCCAGATTTATATATATATGGCTTAAGTCATCTGTAGCCCCTTAAAGTTGTCCGCATAATTCATTTAGACACCTCAACTAGAGCTGGTATCTATTGAATACTTAAATATGCAAAATATGTATCTATTAAGCACAAAATAGTGATGTGGCAAATAATGTGTACTTCACTTTCCATGGGCGCGTGAAGATGCTCAAATAACATTTTTCATTTTATTTTTTTGGAAAAGTACTTTTTTTTACATTTAGACATTTTAATTAATAAAGAAACCAAAAACAATCACCTAAAAATAAAATAATGTCTTCTTCCTAGGAACAGCCCCAACGATTTCCATCCACCATGGTTACCTCCCATGCCACCAACTTTCTCTCACCCTTGTAACGACCCGCTAGGTCGTTTTGAGAACTAGGACTAGTTTGACTCCTTTTGAAAATTTAAAGGGGTATTTTTAAACTATTAGATAACTATGAGTACTCAATTGATGAAACTTTTATTAAATAAACAATAAGTTAATAGTTAGTGTGCTAAGTCCATAACTCATGCACTACCTTTAATATTCAGTCCATGTATTAAAATAAGTTAGAGGAGTTAAAATTAATATATCATAATTTGAGGGAAGCAGAAATAGAGATAACTGCTCCTCCATATAGTCAATACCTAGGCATTCGAGAAGAACCGTCGTTCAGGTAAGCTACCAAGATTATTTTTTTTACAATTTTTTTTGTCGAATAGAATTGCAATTTTGAATAAGGGTAAATTGAATTGTTATCTTTATTATATTATTGATGTGAGGTTCAAGTATATCTGTCGAGGGTTTAAAATTAATTCTTATGGAGGTAATATTTATGAACAATGGGGGACAAACTTATAAGCCAATCATTAGGCAATAATGCCAATGATTGGCATTTGGTATGATTCCTATTAGAATTAGATATAGTGCACAACAGATTGAAGGAAAAAAAAAGGAAACAAAGATCGTGTTAACAGTGCACTTCACTGTTGACATTTTTAAGATGTTTTTTTTTATTTATTTATCAAATAAAGATTTAAGTTTGATATATTGAGATAGGTAATTAATTATTAGGTGTTATTTTGTATGACCTGACATTAAATTTTATTTCATTTGAAGAGGTTAGAGTTAAGTTCTTGGCTTGAAATTTAGCAAGTATGAAAAATTTGACATGCCAATATATATCAAGATTTGGAGTTTGTTGAAAAAAATGAGTGAATGTTAGCGTCTATGATAGAAATATAATAATTTGAATGTCTACAAAAATTGCTTACTTACGAATATTGCAAAAATTGGTAGATTGGGAACGTTCTGAAACCTTGCGAAAAGGAAAGGAAAAATCTTAAAAGATTCGTGGCACAAGCTCGGCATCTAAGGTATGTTAAGACTTTTTAGACTTGTTGAAGGACGTTTTCCTAATTAAAGATTAAAAAATGAAAATAGACAAGGGGTAAGGGGGAAAGATGGTGGTCCCGTATCAATGGTGTGACGGGCATTGGTACGAGTACCGGTGTTATATAAAGGAAAATTTCTATTATAGAATGTGGATTGAAATTTGAGAATGCCAAAGCATATGGGCATTAGCTGATATATTATGGACTTGAATTCCTTGTGTGATTGTGTTTTATTTATTTCACCCGTATAGTTGTGATAATTGAGGTGGTTATGTATTATGTTCATATTGATTGATTGAGATGCATCATCATCCCCTCTATTGAAATAATATTGTGCACATGCATAAACATGAGACTGAGTATAAGTTGGGCACGTGGAGATCGTCCGTGCCGGGGATGGTGAGATGTTAAGATTGTAATTTGGGCACGTGGAGACCGTCCGTGCGAAAATTGTTTGATATTATGATAGTGCGTTGAGATCGTCCGCACAGACACGTGGAGATCGTCCGTGTCGGTATATGGACCTCGCGAGTCCCCCATGGGTCATGAACTCTCGATGTATTTCCGAGGAGTATCATGTATATACGGTTGAGTGAGTACTGGGTATTCTGAGACATATCATTACATGGCATCATATTGCATTGCATTTCATCCCATCATTCATTCTTGATGACTATATGTTTCGTTTGGTGTTTGGAAAATATTAAATGTTGATTTCCTTTATTGATGAAACTTAAATAGTAAGTGTAATATATATATATATATATACACACACACTTGTATAATCTAAGAATTTATTTTCTTATATAACTCCCGTCACTACTTCTTCGTTGTTGGTCAATGAGACATACTGGGTACACGTGGTTTCGTACTCATACTACGCTTGTGGCACTCTTTGTGGTGCAGATTTGATTCCGAGTAGGAGCACATCTCGTGGAGCAAATTGAGTCCGGCTTGAAGTTCTTGGAGTTGTGGTGAGCTGCTTGGCTGTTCCGTGGCCCACACCTCCCTCTATCTTTTATTTATTCTGTTATTAGTATTCAAACAGGATATCTCTTATGTTAGATTTGTCATTTAGTTTCAGACTTGCATCGAATTTTAGAAGCTCTTGTACTTAAGACACCAATTCTTGGGGTGATATATTTTATCTTCCGCATTTCGTACTTATAAGGAACTCAATGTTGGAGATTCTTGCTAAGCATTGGTCTATTTTTACTCATTTGTTGGTTTAGTTGGGTTAATATGTTGGGTTGGCTTACCTATTGGTTGGGAACATAGGTGCCATCATGACTTGCAAAATTTGGGTCGTGACAACCCTCTCCAACTATTCTTCCATTTTCCCTCTTTTTTACAAGTTTTAAATATTTTGGCTTGAACTCTATTTATTTCGATGAAAGAAAACGGAATCAATTTTTTGATAAAAGTTTATTATTGTTTCTTGTAACTGTGATAAATATTTGTCAATAGAAAGAAGATGAAGGCATTACGTAGGAGGCGTTGTCGATGTTGATAAAACGGAATGAAAGAATGAGGTGATGTTCTATTAGCGTGTTAATGCTGACAGAATGGAGTAACGAAGAAGACGAGAGGGTGGGGGAGTTAATTAGAAGAGTTAATTTTATATTCTTAAAATTATTTTTGGATTTTTAAAAAGAACTTTTAAAAAAATTGAATTTGACCGCCACGTGTCGTTGTTTCATTGGTATATTTGTTATATATTTGTCTTTGTATTTCACACATTTTTATTTTTCTGGTGATAGACATTTTGTGTCTAATTGATATAAATTTTGTAAGGTTAAAGTGTTCAATTGGTACTAGCCCCAGTTGAGGTGTCTAAATAAATTATGCGAACAATTTAAGGGGCTACAGATGACTTAAGCCTATATATATAGATTGGTAGTTTAGTATAGACATATGATTTTTTTTTAAATAAATTGGACAATTCAACAGCAGATGAATTGGGCTTCATGTCATACAATCCGGCCCATTAAGGTGAAGTGATGTAGTTCAATTCCCAGCCACATTTTACATTTGTTCTTCTTCCTCACAAGGAACCAGAAGTGAGTTTTGAAGACGAAAAAATGTCCATGGCTTCTTCCTTGCTTCTCTCTCCACTTTCTTGCCCTACTCTTGCTAATAATCCCTCTCATATTGTACTCAATAAATCAACTTTCCTTCCCACCCCCAATTTCTTCTTTTCAGATTCTCTTCATAGACCCAACGCCGGCGTTCGAGGATATTCTTACAGCTCTCCGGTAGCCCAGTCTTTCAACCATATACCCAAACAGTTCAGACAAGACTATCTCAAAGATGGACGTAAGTGACCTTGTCCAATTCTCAAACGCAACCCTAATTTTGCACCTTTGTTTGTATTGAAATGAAATGCTTTTGATTATTTACTAGTTTGGGGATTGAGAATTGAGATTTTGTTAATTCACATTATTTACCTTGGAAACACTTTTTTTTTTGAAATATTTTCCATCTCGGAGATCTTCTTAGGCCTCGTTTGTTTTATGACATTTGTTTTTATTAAGATTAAGAAAATCTCAATATGGATATTTTGAGCTACATTAAAATTTAAATGTTTAAATCTACAACAATAATATACCCGGTGGTTTGGTGAGGATAGAGTGTATGCTAACCTTACTCCTACCTTGTGGTGGTAGAGAGGTCTTTTCCGGAAAACCCTCTGCTCTAGTGAAGAAAACAAAGTAGTAATGGAAAGGAAGAATATCAGTGAAGAATAGAAAGGCAACATTTTGGAAAAGTTTGAGCAACATATTGTAAAATCACAAAGAAAAAGGGGGAGAGAACGAGAGAATTACTTTATGGGTGTCTTTGGTAGGGAGGAAAATGTGCTCCTAGAAAATAAGTGTATTTCTAACTTATTTCTTGTTGTTCGGTTAGTAAGAAGAAAATATTGTCCGACGAGTATTTGAATATAATTTGGTCAAATACTATGACACTCACTATTTAACACGAACTTGGACCCTGACCAGAACTGAACCCAACACCGACCCAAAACATGACCCAAGCTCGGGACCCGATCCTAACAAAGACCCCGACTCAGAAAGTGATCTTTGACCCCACCCTAGCCTAACCTTGCCCCGACAACCAACCCCAACCACGACCTTGACCCGAATCAAGATCTAAGATTCAACCCCAAGCCAGGACCCGACCTTGACACCAAGTCGGGTTATGGCTGAGAGTTAAGTCCTAGGTCAAGGTTAGAAGTTGGGTCAGGGTGGTAAGGTTGAAAGAGATTTTGGAAAATCTTTTCCTTTATGTAGGGATTTCATTTTCCTTAAATTGGAGGAAAATAAGTCCATTTGGAAAACATTTTCGGAACATTTTATGTGATCCAAACATTTCTGTGAAGTGTTCTCCTTCATACTGAACACTCCCTATGTGTTTTCAAGTTGGAAAAGAATGTATGTTTCAGAAATCTTTGGTCGTCATTCAAGTGAATCTGGTATTTGTGGAATGGTCCTTTGCACTCGTACTGCAGTTTCCTTGTTCTTCTCTACTCTAGTTTTTCAATTTACTGTGTTCGTTTTGTTTATGTTTTCTTTTTTACTATTATTTGTGAAGATTCTGCTCTTAATCATGTATACTATCCTTTTGTAGTACTGAACAACTATAAGAATGCCCCTCAGTATCTTTACGGCCTTTCTCCGTCACAGATGGATATGTTCATGACAGAAGATAACCCAGCCCGGCGACAGTCGGGAAGCGTCACTGAAGTAAGTTCTTTTTTATACTCATTTCTTGATTAGTTTCCATGTATTTTAATGGCTTCATGATGTCAGGTGTGTTAAATTTGTTTAAATATCCCATTGCTAAGTCTGCGTTCTTACAAAAAAAACATTTAATATATTTTGATTACAGGAGAATATATCTTCATCCCATAACTATCTGAAAAATGGTGGAATGTGGAGTATGTCAGGCATGAATAAACAGGGCCCTTCAACATGCAGCATGAGCGTCAGCATGTACGGAGGAGGAGGAGCAAGATCTGATAGATCCCCAACTGCGCCTCCTGATTTGCCATCTTTGCTTTTAGATGCTAGAATTGTCTATCTGGGCATGCCTGTATTAACCTTTTCCTAGTTCTTGCCTCCCTTTAAGTGGTTGCATGTATTTTACATTTGCACTGTCCTTATTCTGATTCTCATATTGGTTTACCGTTATATTGCCACAGATTGTAGAAGCTGTTACAGAGCTTATTGTTGCACAGTTTATGTGGTTGGATTTCGATAATCCAACAAAGCCCGTATACCTATATATAAATTCATCTGGTACCCAGGTAAGACAGTTTGCCTCCAATTTAATTTCTCCGAATAAATTTAGTTTCTGGAACAAGGTAAGATGAGAAGTGTAGAATGATTTATCAAGCAATTCTTTCATTTTGGTAGCTTATATAATTGGAGGATAAGATGAGTTATCAAAGACACTCATAGGGAGGGTTGGATGATTGATCTTAGGATGACACACCGTGGCAATTGCACATAAGGATCTGGGAGTCTTATTTGTCTACCAAATGACAATAACCTCACATGCAAATGAATTATGAATAATAACCTTGAAAATGTTTGTATCCATCTGCATTCTTGCATACATTTTATATTCAAATATGTCCATGCATCATAATATTAATCTCAGAGGTAGATATATGTTGTACAAATCGTATCAGTGAAAACTTCAGATATTGATACCATGCATATGTATATGCTTTAATACAGTATTCACATACACAAATAATTTATTACTGTATACATGTTATATGCATCTACACATTTTTGAGATGTGGTCTACATGCAATATGTAATATATTTTCTTTCTCAAGAAGTTTATGTATTGCATAGTCCATATTTCTGTACTAGATATGTACTTGCTGCATCGTATGTCTGCACAAGATGGTACATTCTTCCTGAAGTAAGGATAACATATTTGGTTTTGCTCAATATGATTTATCTGGCTTTCAAATTCCTAACATAAATTGGGATCACTGATTTGCTAATCCAGAGAATCATCTCACACTAGCCAAATGCTATAGAGGATGTGTTTCCTGGGCCAAAGTCATCCAAGAATCATAAAAAATCCATATCATTCCATTTGTTGACCGAACATACATGTTATACTTAGTTAATATTTCCCTGCTGCTGATGTACTCTTGCTTTCCCCAGAATGACGAAATGGAGACTGTCGGTTCTGAAACAGAGGCATATGCCATTGCTGACATGATAAGAGTAAGTATCTCTAGACTTTTATGTTTACTTATTTTATTGTGATATTGAGTTTAATGTTTGAACTTGATGTTTACTTATGTTGGTCGTGATATTGAGTAAGTATCTCAGTTGAATTTTAGAACAAATAATGAGAAATTGAACAAAGCCACCCTTAGTCTCCATAGCAGTAAAACATCAATGGGCGAACAATTTGATGCATCTTATCTATCTATATGTTTCCCAAGACTGCGATCTTTATTCATCTAACTTATTACTTGTGTGTTTTTAATTGTCACTAGTACTGCAAATCAGATGTATATACGGTAAACTGTGGCATGGCTTTTGGTCAAGCAGCAATGCTTCTGTCACAAGGAAAGAAAGGGTTCCGTGCTGTGCAGCCAAATTCATCTAGTAAGGCTCAACTTTTCACCCTCAATATCTTGATTCTCACACTGGCAACTGTATGATCATATGATCTTCTGTGTTTCTAATTCATAGTTGGTACCAATGATAGACGGGAGCCACATATTTTTGCTTAAGGGTGTGTATCTATCACAACATGACGAACTGAATCACTATTTAACTTGACACGTCCATGGTGTGAGGATGGTTTCTAAAAATTGCTTCTCAACTGTACTATCACACAAGTGCTGTAGTGTAGACAGAAGTTGCAATACTTCATTTTAGCGGTAAGGCACAAGTATCCCTAGACTGTGACCGGAATCCCAGAGACACACCTTAACTAAACTAAGGTCCTATTACCCCATGAACTCACCTTGATTTTTTATAATTTTGTACACCTTTTGACTTATGGAACACTCCGTGTCTCCACTTTGTTGAGGGGTGTGGGAGATATTTGGAGGCTGCATAGGCCAAAAAGATTTTTTTTTTTTGGGGGGGGGGGGGGGGTTAATAGGGCCTTTACTTTAGTTAAGGTGTGTCTCTGAAATTTCGGTCATAGTTTAGGGGTACTTGCGCTTTATCCCTTCATTTCATAATAACTTTTTGTAATTCATCAATCCTCTATTCCTCTGCTACATTCTTCATTTCCTCCATCCTCCTTATATATGCTTTCCTTTTTTATTTTTTGGTTGGTGGGAGGAGGGGTTTACGTTAGAAGCTGAACAATTGTTTTTGGTGACTCATGATAAGTGATAACTATCTTCTACGTACATCATTCAAAGACCTCCACACTCATGCCTCCCAAATTTATTCTATTTTTCAGTTTTTACTGCTTTTGATATTCACACTATTGATGGTTTGCAGCCAAATTGTATTTACCCAAGGTCAGCAAATCCAGTGGATCACCGACAGAGTTGTGGATAAAGGTTATTCTTTCTCTCTAGCTATGTCCATGTGTATATGTGCATCATAAACAGTAATGAAATTGCTCGTTGAAGTTAAATTTTGCGCATATGGATCACATAAGGTTTGCAGTGTGTTCGGTGACACCTGCCTATCCCGGTCTGTCATTTGTGACTAAAGTATTCTGCTACTTTGTCACTGTATATGTGCATCATAAACAGTAATGAAATTGCTCGTTGAAGTTAAATTTTGCGCATTTGGATCACATAAGGTTTGCAATGTGTACGGTGACACCTGCCTATCCCAGTCTGTCATTTGTGACTAAAGTATTCTGCTACTTTGCCTCCACAGGCCAAAGAACTAGAATCAAACTCAGAGTATTACCTTGAGCTATTATCAGAAGGAATTGGAAAACCAAAGGAAGAAATAAAGAAAGATATCCTACGGCCTAAATATTTCAGGGCGCAAGAGGCCATTGACTATGGCCTTGCAGATAAGATAATTAGTTCAAGTGACGATGCATTTGACAAACGGGTAAATTTACTTTGAGATATTTTCCAACTACTATGCTGGCTTTCTTGTTTCATGCCGTTCACATTGATTTTTTGTAATCAGAACTATGAAGAGATGCTCATCCAATCTAGAATGTCGAGACCAGGTGCTCAAGCTGCTCCCTCCGGGTTCAGGTGAATGAAAGAGTGATAATGATCCTGAACTTTCAGAAACAACTGATGTTCCTGTCTAGTTCTGAGGATCAAAGTGTCTGGTTACTTGTCTGTGCACCCATGGTATAAAACTTGGGTATATGATTTTACGACTATCGTGCAGTGGTTGGTGAAAAGTATTTACAATGTCAATTTTGTGTACCAGTATAGAATCAGATAGTGATGGTGCATGGTATAAATGAATTTTCTTATTCTTGTATCAGATCATTTGTCACTTCACAGTTTTAGTTATTTCTTTATCTCTACGTATTTCTTTTTAAAGTTAATTCTTTTTCCACTAAATTCATCCCTTTTGCTATAGTATCATTTTGTTTCATATCCTGTAACTACAATTGCGGACCTAGGTAGAGGAGGAAAAAGGAAAGCAAGAAGATAACAGGAAAAAAATAGATGGATAAGCATCCAAAATAGAATTGAAAAGTGTTATAAAACAAAAGATAATGTAATAAAATTAAGAAGAAAGATGAGAAATATCTAGTGTCGTATTTTCTTTTCTCTTACTCTTGTCTTATATATATATATATATATATATATATATAACAGTGTCGTATTTTCTTTTCTCTTACTCGTCTAGTGTGAGTTACCTTTCTTATGTGGTTTGCAAGTTATTGCAAATGAATAGGTGTTTGATTTTGTGTGCATCCAAAGGGTAGAGGCTGCGGATTCCCCTTGTCATAGGAAAAATAATATATATATATTCTTCATATACTTGGATTACAAGGAGCTGTTTGGATGCTGGTTAAAGCTCAACCTAATACATACATGAATAATTTGTTTATTACTTTTATACATTGTTTGGTTTGTGAATGAATAAAAATTATTCATGTTTTAATTTTATACAATGCTTGGTTGGTAGGTTTCAAATATTGCATAAAATTTATTCATGTATTAATTTTATACTGTATTTGGTTGTGCTTTAGTAATTTTACACAAATTAATACTCATATAACTTGAGGAAATCTCTGTATAATTCTATGCATGGTAGAATGTCGAATAAATTGTATGAGTATATATATGGATTAAAATAATAAAATTAAATATTTATCCTTTTCAATTAGCTTTCAATTTAATTTTTTTTAATTATGTGTGCTCTTAAAAGAGTTATACTAATTATTTTTTATAACATCATATAACAGAGATGGTGTACTCTCGAGTCTGGAGATAACTTGCACTATTGAACACTGTAAAAGGACGATAAAATTCAAGATTATTACTTACACAGTGAAAAACATTTTAAGTTCTTGCACATCAAAGGAATTTGGCAGGAATTATTACCCCTGACTTTACTTTTAAATGTAGAATAATTTACAAAAAATCAAATGATTATTATATGTAAGAAAAAAACACTATATATCATGTTATAAATCCATTGAATTGAGTGGATTGTCCTTTAGATATAGTCAATACTTAATTGCATTCACGTATATATGTTTCCGAGGTGATAAAAACTATTTGGATAACTATGCATCTACTAATTTGTGACCTTTGGGAGTGATACCTCAACATTATAATAAGATATGTCATTCACCATTTAGAGGATACACTTGAATAGAAGAAAAATATTCTTTCTCCTACATCTTACTTCTTGTGTCTTCTTTTCTTATATTATATTATGAGCTTGATTTTATAACACGTTATCAGTACGAATATGCTTCAAAAGTTATAGTACTTCGTAAAAGTGTTGTAGTTGAAACACTTGTGAGCAGGAACATGTTCTATTTATTTTTTCTTGTTGCACATTTATATTTCAAAAGTTCCTCTTATACTAATAATTTAGTTTAGTATATATGAGGTAGAAAAGTCTGATTTGTTTTACTTTAACAATTTTATACATTGGTTTATTATTATATTAACAATTCTTCATTTCAGAAAAGAATTGAAGAATAGAGAAGCAAATTTTCATGTTGAATTTCCAAGTGTTAATTATGAGGAACTTATTAATATTTATAATTGCTAGAGGTGAGAAAACTCTCAATATTATTCTGACTAAATTTGCTTCTATAATTCTTTATTTCTTTTAAAGGTTCATGGTTGAGTTCTATTGATATTGACTTATATGACATTGATTGAAGGCTAGACGATGGATTCAAGTCCCATCGCACCAAAAGAGTAAGACATCAGTTTAAAGTTCGGGCGCACATAATGAAAAATATTCGAGGATAAAACGCTAGATCAAGTTCTATCGCACCAAGAGGGTAATACATCAATATGAGTTTTGATGCACCATGATGATAAGATATTGGATCCAATCTCATATATTTATGACCTAAGATGACTTTACATGGATAAGACGTTGGATTTAAGTTCTAATGCACCATAATGAAGATAATGATAACTAAGGCAAAAATAATATATTTTGATGAAAAGTCTTGAGATTCATCATATTGAATTTGCTCCATTCCTGGAAAAGAATGTGGTAGCAACATATGATAATTTTGAAATCCGCTTGACTTGCTCCATTCTATCATATGAATGTGGTAGCAGTAAATAATTAGTCTGAAAGATGACAAATGATTAACGTTATGATAAAGGACGTGAAATGACGGGATTATAATAGTCATCATTGTGGTAATTATAAAAGGAAGAACACTATGAGTTCTCCAAACAACCCTTCAAAATGTGAAGGCAATTTTTATCATCAAAATGGTACGAAAGGTCATTGGACTTGTGAATGTTGTCGACCCAATAATTTGACGAGTTTATAAATCCTCCATCAAAAGACAAGAAGATAAAGTGATGGTAAACTTGATCTTTTAAAGCGATATTGTGGTGTGTCATGGAAATATGATGAATTTTAAAGTCATAACAATGTGCTTATAATGCAATTTATGAAGTATATGTAAATGATTAGTCCATTCTTTGAAGAGAACGTGACTTGTGATGAGTATTGTAAATGCTCGACCATTCTATAAGAGAATGAGTCAAGATGTGACAAAATCATTATGGGTTCCATAACTCACCTCTAAGGAAGGTTTGAGAAAAAAAATGATATATGTCACAGCTCATCTCTACGAGAGGTTTGAGAGGAATAAATAATTTTTTATTTGGGAGAAATGGTCAATGGTCGTGTACGTTTATACATCATAAATATTATGGTATGTTTATTTTTAAACTATCAAAAGGGCAAAAGAAATAAAAGTTTTTGCCTATAAAGGTTGTGCCATGACCAAAATAATATAATTGTGTGGCAATACAAATTTGTCATGTTTGTGTACCTATGGTACAATAAAAGTAGCGCAAGAAACATGTCTTACTCGTAATAATTTTTGACCATGACAATAATAATATAATTTCTCCTTGAGGGGATATTCACCATATGGATGGTGTCATGGAATATGTGATAGTACACAAAATTAATTGCAAGCTCTAATGAGTTGTATTCTTACCAGAGGAATACTATTGGGGTTATAGTAAGTCTCAAAAGAAACGTTTTAGTTTCGTATGAATTGAAAATAAATATTGAGACTATAAAGTATGAAAAGATTTATTATCTTCAGATTACTACAATTAAAGCGGGTTATAAATATTATGTAAAAGATTACCCATTTTTTCCTCTTGTTTGTTGCACACAAACGTGGGCATGTCGATGAAATCACATGCAAAAGTAAATTATAGGTGTACTGAAATAAAGACCGGTTGGCATGGCCGGTTGACCATTCTGGTTTAATGTGATGCAAATGTAATTGAGAATTCATGTGGATTATATGAGAAAGAAATAAAAGATTCTTCAAGAATTCTCTTCCGTTGCTTGTTCTTTTGATAAAATGATCATTGCATGTACCAGTTAAGGTTGAGATTGTGATCCCCTGAAGTTTTTGGAACATATAATAAAAAGGTGAATATGAGCCCATTCACCCACCATGTGGATCATTTGTAGCTATATAATAGATGTATCTATCGATGACCACATGTGCTATGGTATCAACTTACAATTGATGTTTGTAAGGTGGTTAGCTCGAATGTTAAATTAAGAGCATAGTTCCAAATAATAAAATTATATTGATAATGCTGATTGATTTAGCCGAAATCGTATGCCTCCAATTATAGCTAATCATGATTATGAGAACAAAACTCCCAAATAAGATTTGGTATGATATAATTTTATTTAACATGTAGCAACACATGAATGCATAAAGCCAACATAGTTTCCCCATTAAAATTGGTTCAGGGTCAGAAACCAAATAATATTCATCTAAAATGTTGAATGTGTGATTTTAATTGCTCCACCATGCACAAAGATGAATTCCCAAATAAGGTTGGGATGAATGTTATATTTTCTATCATTAGGGAGAGAGATGATTGACAACTGAAAATTATGTGTGAGGTTAATTATGAATTATCTAGATCCTCGTTAAATATGTGGACTTAAAATTTAAGGGATAATTCATTTGCATAATGTCGCAAATCAATTGCAAAATGAATGTATTGACCCTATGATATAATTCAACTGCAAATGCTTCAATGTGAAGTCCTTGAAGGACAGAGTCTACGATACGCTGAAAGCGTAATAGATCAATCGGTTCCAAATATAAAATTCCTTGAAGAAGGAGAGGAGCAAATGATCAATATGGTCATAATAATGAGGCAAGTGCTATAAAAGAGCACATTGACATAACACTTCATAAAACCTCGGAAAAGCTTCAGGTACCTAAAAAATGATGAAAAATGAAGAGATCTCGATAAGTTATTTCTTGTTGGAATCAATACCAAATAACAGTCGACGGTATCTTTAATATGAGGTAGCGCTCAAAGATATAAATTGTGACGAGGATCTTGAATTCAAATCTGTCATAGAGTGTGGATATATAAATGATTGGCCAAGTAAAATGCATAATTCAAGTATATTTTGTTTCACTTAGAAAGTGACATTTTGGACTGATAGTCCATAAATCAAGGTATAATGTCAGTGTACAAATAAATTATTATGCGATAGAATAACCGTAAGATATCAAGTACGGCTTGTGCCTTGTGGCATAAAGGTTTGTTGCAAAAATCTTGACATTATTGGAGAAGTTTTCTCCTATGGTGGATGCAATGAGATTTTTTTTATCTCGCAACATATGAAAAACTTGAATACATATAATGAATAATTGTCATGTCTAATCAAACAATGAAG